ACATCAGCGCTTCTTTGTCATATCATATTACATTTTATCTATCTATCTATCTATCTATCTATCTATCTATCTATCTATCTATCTATTGTTAATTTTGTTATATCTATTCTATTTCGTATCTCTTTAACTATCTATCCACACACATACACACATACACACGCACGCACGCACGCACAATATATATATATACATATATATATATATATATATATATATATATATATATATATTCCGATTTTCTTTGGTAGTATGCATACATATATATATATATATATATATATATATATATATATATATCATAAAGAGGGGGCACTTTGTAACTCAGCTTATCTGATATAGAATCGAATTAATCATCCCGCAACATCTACTGACATCGCGTCTTCACTTTTGTTGCTGTCAACACACAGACTCCATTAACAGATCTCTTCTCAGAATACATCGACAACTTGTCCGACATTCATTCTACCCAATTACCAATGTCAAAACAACTTGAATATTTAAACACTGAAGCTAGACAAGTCACAAGTACAAATAAAAACCTCCACTTCAATATGACTATTTTATTTACTTCATCTTATTATTGTTGCTTTTTATTGCCACACTTGACATCGATACATTCTTTATTTGAATGATTACTAATTTGATGCTGTTATTCACCCAGTATAAGACTCAAGAGGCACTAACTATAGAGGATTTTAGTTGGTATAAAGTGACCATTATGAGGATAAGGAGGATGGACAGCGATTGAGCCTTGACTTGAAGAGGTTAAGATTGTAGTGTAGAGGGTTGCTGTTAAAATGGTTATGATGAATGAGGTGTGTGATAGGAATGAAAGAGGAGGGGGTAGGAAGTGAAGATTATGAGGATAAGGAGGATAGATAACGATTGGCGCATGACATGAATGGGTTAAGATTGTAGTGTAGAGGGCTACTGTTAAAATGGTTATGATGAATAAGGTTTGTGCTAGGAATGAAAGAGGGGGTGTTAGTAAGTGAAGATTATGAGGATAAGGAGGATAGATAACAATTGACCCTCGACTTGAAGAGGTTAAGATTGTAGTGTAGAGGGTTACTGTTATGATGAATGAGGTGTGTGATAGGACGCATGCGATCATGGCTCTCCACCTCTTTCTATCCCCTACAGTTCTCAGCAAGTTTCTTCCCTCTGCCTCCTCGCCCAGACCACGTTCTGTCATCCACTTGCTTAAGCTTGCCAGGTATGTCACGTGTTGTGTTTTCCCTTCTGTTCCATTCCTTCTATTCGACCTGTAAATATCATAAATTCTCCAGGCCCTCCTTCCTCATTATGCGTCCCAGAAACTTCGGCAGTCTGTTCTTGATATTAAATATAAACCTTCTTCTTGTTTGCAAACTCTCTAAGATCTCATCGTTGTTCACATGCTCGGTCCACAATAACCTCAGCATCCTTCGGTAGAACCACATCTTCGTCGCCACGAGTCTCTTCCTCATCCTTAAGGAAATCGTCCAACATTCACTGCCGTAACGAAGGACAAATGTCACTTAACTGTTCAGTATTCTTTTTTCTTTGATACCAAAGAAATCCTCCTGTCTCCCAATAATCTGCCCAGCTTTTGGAATATGTTCTTGGCCAAACCAATACGTCTACGGATCTCAGTGTCGCAATTACCGTTCTCGGTCAAAATGCTTCCCAACGCACACATAGAATGTCAATTTTTGCATTTTTACGCAGACAAGTGAGTAATAGAATTCGGTGAATGTTGTGGTAATATTATATATATATATATATATATATATATATATATATATATATATATATATATATATATATATATGATTGTTAGAATCTTCCGAATAGATTGCCGTTATTCTCTCTAAAAAGCTTACATCAGCACTTCCTTGTCATGTCATATTACATCTAATATCTATCTATCTTGAAAAGGAGCAATTTTGAAATAATTCTTTAATGAAATAGACACAATACAAAATCATTTTGAGGTTTCCACCCTTTCTATCTATCTATCTATCTCCCCATATATATATATATATATATATATATATATATATATTAATATATATATATATATATATATAGTATATATATATATATATATATATATATATATATATATGATTGTTAGCATTTTCCAAATAGATTGCTGTTATTCTCTCTAAAAAAGCTTACATCAGCGCTTCTTTGATAATGTCATATTACATTTTATCTATCTATCTATCTATCTATCTATTGTCAATTTTGTTATATCTATTCTATTTCGTATCTCTTTAACTATCTACCCACACACATACACACACACGCACGCAAGCACCCCCCATATATATATTCCGATTTGCTTTGTCTATGATTCTCTTGATTTTCTACAAATTACCAACTCCTGTTGCTGAGAATGCACTCCAAACGTTGATATTTTTTATCGTGTTTTAACAGTGCCCTTGGTAGTCACTCGAGTATTTCACCTGCCTTACGCCAAACTCGGCCTTCATATCTAAAAGTAAAGGGGCTCTCATCACCCCATATAAAATCATTCCAGTCAGATTTAGTCCAGTGTAAATGATCTCTGTACCAAGCCAACCGCGCCCGTCGATTTTTTCCAGATACGAAAGGTTTCTTTTTTATGTATTTGGAAACAATGCCTTTTGCTTTAAGCCCGCATCTCAGTGTTCTTGAAAAAACCGCCGCTTTGGAAACATCTTGTTCTGTTGCGAATCGATCTTTTTTGCAATGAAGAACCAAGTTTCTATCTTCCCTGTTGCTAGTTTTTAGCTGTCATCCAGATCCGCTATGTTTATTATATGTTCCAGATGAATTTCTCTTTTTGATTAACTTGCAGACACATGATTCACTTCGATTAATCTTATCAGCTATCGATCTATTTGACAACCCAAGATCATAAAAAGCGGCAACTAGGCCTTTCTCAAAGACAGAACATTTCTTAGGCATGTTAATAAATGTAAATACAAATATTATAAGCTTTATATTTGTTCATCATCATTCCTATGGGTACGTCCCTTTTTTTGCCTCGTACTGTATTAGCGAAGTACAAAGTTTTGATAAAGTGATCGACTCTCTAATCAACTCTGAATTGGTTAAGTACCTCACCTTGCAGACCCTTCTTTTAGGTAATCGATATGGCTCTAGCATCTTTTGGCCTGTTGTGGTAGGATCCACCTAATTTGCATAGTGGAGTACCGACCATATACATATGGTTGGTACCGGGAAGGCGAGAGGAGGAATCAAGAGATTCAATCCAGAGACTCTGCCCGACTGCGGCTAAGTCAACACATTCTCCAGGAACGGTCTTCCCAAGATTATACAAAAGACTATATGTAAATATTGTGTACACTTTCTTGTTTCAATACATTTTGTTCTAAGTACATTTTGTGTTGTATTATTATTCCATGCATTAGTCAAGTTTCAACATGGCCAAATGCTGATGTATTAAAGATTATTGCTGAAAGAGTCTATCAAGTTTTAGCTAAGAATGGTGAACCTTGGGCTGTTGCTTTGGACATCTCAAAAGCATTTCACAGGGTTTAGCATACCGGGATTCTTCAGAAGTTTAACGATTATGGTGTTTCTGCACATAATCTTATATATAAAGTTCAGTGTATGTGTGTGTGTTTTTCTGTGTGTGTGCATCCAAGCAACTCCTTCATTCTCAACGGTCCGATTTCAATGATTCATAGCTCATTCAAAAGCCCTAGACAAGTTAGTCGCAGGAAACGATTTTCGTTGAGCTCTGATTCAGGGTCGCCAGATTATGCGGGGTTAAAAAAAATATATTAATATATTATACTAGCCATTATCGTTGCTTTCATGGTTGAAGATGAGTAACTCTTATTTTCCTTTTGTATTCAATATTGCAGTGCATATTTTATTATAAATAGCATAAAAGGCGCCCTATCGGGCAGAATTTAAGCTAACTCCTGTGGAGGACTATTGGTTTGGACATCATCACAATAGCTAGGGAGGAGTAGAAGAGATAGGCATCAATAAACTACAGAAGAACCCAAAACTGATCGATGCATTCAAGTATTGACTTAATGTTTTAACTTACAGATAATTTTTCTGCTGCCACTTAAGGTAAAGACGAGTTGATGTACGTAGATCCTTATTTTCCGTACAAACATTTTTTTTTTATTTCATGTGTAACAGAACAGGGGACAATTTATAAAATAAAATTAATATAGTGTAAAGATGGGAAAGTAGAAATTAGAATTAGTTATACATTGAACATTTGAAGAGTTAGAGAAACATAATAGTTAATTAAGTAAAACCTATATTATAGAATCTATATGAGTAAATACTATATTGGCGCTCAATTATTTAACTTATTCTGAGATTAAAAGACCCAAGATCTAATTTATAGTAATTTACTCACTAGGTATTTACTATGTCTCCCGACTAATGCGATTTGTGAGACAAGGTCAGTTTTTAAGGTGTACCCGAGCGCGTACATTTGGGTGAGGAACAAAAATTGTCCGCAGCACCCGAAACCGTCGGTTGCGCTGGTCTCTCACCGATACTTCACACCGGTGCAATGAGAGGGCACGGCTTCGAGCAGCTGTTCCCCAGGGCTGGGAACATTTCAGTATAGTTTCCCCCAGTTGCGACACTTTCCTTTGGCGGAGTCGCCTCTGAACGCATTTTGCCCAAAGACAAAGACGCAAATGAAAGATGATAAATATGGTGTTACAACATACTTGTATTTACTCCCACCCCCACGAGGTCAGGTTGTGAAACAAGGTCGTTTTAATGTGGGGAACCCGAGCGCGTACACCCGGGTTAGGATCAAAAATTTCCGAGCACCCGCCACCGTTGGTTGCGCTGGCCTTGATACGTGCACCGATCACTCTATCTAGTGCAATGTGAAGGCGCAGGCTTGGGCAGCTGTTCCGGCAGAGCCGGCATCACTCAGTGTAATTTTCCTCAGTTTAATGGAGTCGCCCTGAGTGCATTCTGTCCAAGGACAGAGACACAACTGAGATATGATGAATAATGTGTTACAAACCTCGAGAGAGAAAGAGAGAGAGAGAGAGAGAGAGAGAGAGAGAGAGAGAGAGAGAGAGTAATTTACATACTAGGTATTTACTCTCTCTCCCCACTTAGTTGAATTGTGAACACAAGGTATTTTTTTAAGGTGGGGATCCGAGCGCGTACACCCAGGCCAGGAACAAAATTTGCCCGCAAATTTGTTCATTATGATTTCTTATGCGCATGAGTAACACCGACTGCACTACCGATCCGTGGAATAATTGCATTGCACGACACGGTTCAGTGGCGCAAAAACAGACCTGTGGTATATATATATATATAACAGTAAGATATATAATCCGGTATTTTTATTTATATTTTTTTTTATTTTTACAAAACAGTGCTCAATGTAAATTTACAGAGCATAAATATTATAAATTAACTGATTTAAAATATGTTTTTTTCGCTACACAGTAACAACCATGTTTCAAAAACTGAAGCTAAAATCTTTAAATTTAATTATATAATTAAATTAAAAGCATTAGTTCCGTTTCATCTTCAAGCGAATATTGGAATAACTTATTTTTAAATTTACTGAGTTTTAAACGCACATATAAATTCATAATTTCCTGTTTCCAAGGATACAGAGAAATCCAATCATTTAGACAGGGGTGGTAGCGTGTTCATTTTTATTAACTATTGTTGTATATATTTACGTTCGAAAAAGAGGTTACGTTTAGGGAGGGTAGCGGTGTATTTTCCAACGAATTCTGACATCCGCTAAATGCATGCCGTCTGGGATTTTTTATTAACGGTAAAAAGTTTTTCGGCTCTTTTTGGTACTTGTTTACTGGAAGATACTTTTTAGGGGTGTTTGGGTTAGAATACGTTTTATTTAACTACAATTTTAAAATATTTTTACTCTTAATAACTAATAGACTATATTTCTTTTTAAAAAAGTTAAATGTAATAGAATTACTTAAATTATTTTAAATTATTTTTTCATATCAAATATAAGTATGCATATTACTGGGTCCAATTTTTTAAATTTTATTTTAAAATTTTATTTAAGGAGATTTTTTGACAATGACGGCAAAAATAGCTATTACATTTTTCTGATTCAGTAAATTTTCAGTTTTTATAAACTTATATATATATATATATATATATATATATATATATATATATATATATATATATGTATGTGTGTGTGTGTATGTGGGCATAGTGGTCATTACTATTAGTTTTATGTGCTTTCACACAATCATCAAGTAGCCAGTGACTTGTAATAAGTTGAAATAACCTATATACCACTGAGTGAGTTCAATTTCCCAAGCAACCAAACCCGCACGATTGGGGTGACGGTAGCTCATCCAGCCATGGCCTAAAATGACAAATAAACATCTGGAAAGGCTTGCCTGTATGACACACACACACACACACACAGAGACACACACAGAGACACACGCACACACACACACACAAACACACACACATATATATATATATATAAAAAGAAATATAGTTTTAAGGTGTGCTATATTTATGGGATAAAATGCTCAATATCAGAGATAGAGCGTATGTAAATATAAATATAAGGGTGAACATTAATGTCAACAGAGGCGACAGGCTGCTTCATGCTTGACGCAATCTTCAGGCCGCTGGATATATATATATATATATATATATATATATATATATATATATATATATATATATATATATCCAAAGGTGGAGTAATGGATAACAGCTTGATTACATTCACTTACGTGCTAATACCCGTGAGAAAGGTATGAATCCTCCCTCCAGCTGTGGGTAAATAGCAGAACAGACTGGGTTCTATAGCCTTGGATGGTGACTGTTCTAGGAGAAGGACAACTCTGAATTCAAAACCTGATCAGTGTCGTTTGGGAACCTTATGGCACATAGTGCACCAGGTCTCTGTATTCAGCCCTTCAAATAATGTGGATGGTTCTGCACAAACGCCCTCAATGCTATAATCAGATCTCATGTGCCAGTGTCGGACTGTCGGTTCATAAGAACTGATCTACTTGACCGTCATACGTCGAATTTGACGGGAGAGTCGAATATATATCCAACTACAGGGTTGGTATAGATAGGATTAAAACGGGTTTCAGAACCAAGCCCTTCACATATCTAATTAAGACTACCAGACCGGAATTCGGAAGAATTATCAAAACCATGTTGGAAAACACTAACCAGTCTATTAAACGTACCCTTGTACTCTAGCAGTTAGTTAACACTGCGGACATTATTAACTGGTTCAAAGGTATGCAGAAGGGTAGACGTACTTTTATCCAGTTTGATATCATCAATTCCTTCATACACCCATCCATCTCCAAAGATCATTTCATTCAGGCCCTGGAGTTTGCACAGGAAAACTCAAACATTTCCGATAAAGAACTGGGCATTATTTTAAAATGTAGAAGTTCTGTTCTGATCCACAACGAAGATCAATGAAATAAAATGTCTGCAAATGATTACTTCGACATCTCAAAGGGTTCGTTAGATTCAGCTGAAACCTCTGATTAGGTAGGATTAGTTCATTTTATATAATTTAAGTGCCTATGATTGCGTAATACTGACAGTATTGGATTATATAGAGATGATGGCTTGTTAATCGTTAAAGATTCTACAAACATTAAGGTAGACCGCATTAGAAAAAGACCTTAACAATAGATCTTTTCAGCCTTACATGAAAGTTAATTCTAACCCTGTATATGTATATCCTGATTCTAACAATCCTATGTTATTAGGGTATGTGCTTAATAACATCTGTTATTAGGCACATACCCTCTTCCATAGAATTTAGAATCAGCGCTCTTCTAGCAAAGAGGTTTTTTTTAAGCAAGATCATTTGATTTACTCCCCCTTTCAACCTAATGATTAAAATTAAATTAGGACAAAAATCCCTAAACCCTATTTATTAATGATCTTTTTCAAAAAATTAATCCGCTTAGTAAAATATTTTATAATAATACTATTAAATTCAGCTATTGTTTTGTGGATAACTCTTATATTCCGTACTAATAGGAAAATATACATGACAAACACGATGGATAAATAAGTAAAAAATTATTGTAAAAACCAATATAATAAGAATAAAGATAACAGTTATGCACAAGATCGTCGCAATTCAATCCAGTAGTGAGTGCTAGTATTGGAAGGTCGGTAGTTCTCGCGTAAGTCTGAGTCGTACTCAATAGATCCCAACTAGTCATTATTTACTAGCCGTCCACCCACGAGGGTAGATGTGGCACAAGGCCGAGTTTAACTTGGGTCATCCGAGCCCGTAGTCTCGGCCAAAAATTCTCCGTAGAGCCCGCATAAACGGGATTGGGTTGGTCAACCTCCCCGAACGAGACTGCTCTTCGGCAGAGCCTCGTCCTGGTTCCTCTCTGCACGGAGGAAGAGAGTTCGACCGTCTAGCTGGAACAGATCGCAACTAGACTTTGTAGTCCGTTGACTTACAAATACTTATAGGTAGTTACTACTTATAGGTCGTCACTGATAGGGCTGAAAAGTTATTTCATTACATCAATAACCCCGAGAAAATAATTAAAAAACATAGTAACAAAGTCTCCAACAAGTATGCAAATTCAAATAGCATGATAATACTAATACATGAGGATGTGATTGTAGGGATTTCAATGATTTCTCATTATAAAATAATTGCTTAGCTATAGTTGAAAACCCGAGTCTTGAAATATTTTACATTGGAAGTACTAAAAATTCGTTAAAAACCCGTTGCTATCAACATCTACTATCCTTCAATAATAGTACTTATAAATATAGTGATTCATTGTACATTTGGAGTTTAAAAGAGAAAAACAAAACTCCTACAGTTAAATGGAAATTAATTAGGAGTGCTGAAACCTGTAATTCTGTATACGAACCATGTTACCATGACGAAAAATTGGAAATCATTAGATTTAAAGATAGGATTAATCTCTTAAATCAGAGAAATGAACTCACTGTTAACTGTAGATATAGTTCATCTTCTACCTTGCAATATGAGTAGCGATGTTATGAACAACAGAATGATATTGTAAGTTTGTACTATTATTATTATTTATTAGTTCTTTAATTCATTTATATCCTTGTATATATATATATATAAACTGGATCACCGACGTTAATTATAACCTACTCGTATTTGCTAGCGATGTAATCTGACATACATTAAGTTGATATTGAATTGCTGTGATCCTTTATGCATTAATTTTGTATGGACTCATAAATCGTCATTGTTATCTAGGTAAGCATATACGTATGTTTGTTTGTATAGGTATTTCTTCATGTATGTATGTGAGCGTATACGTTTATATATATATATATATATATACATGTGTGTGTGAAAAGTGTATATAAATATAAATAAATATAAGTATGTATCATTATTTATATATTATATGCGCGGTACTTATTAGAAAGCGCTCAATATCAGAGATAGAGCTAACATATTTGGTTGGATAGATCAAGTATGTATATGTGTCTGCATACATCAATGTTTGCGTTAGTACGATGAATTACAAAACGACGAAATTTCCCCCCCACCACTTCCAAAATAACACCAATACACGCAATCTACATAAACCCCAATTTTTAAAACATTAATTAGTTTGTCTGACGATCGCTAAAGCGTGAAACCCAGGGTCACAAACTCACATCTATCCAACCAAATATATATATATATATATATATATATATATATATATATATATATATATATATATATATATATTATATTTTCTGTGTGTATATGTGTGTGTATATATGCATATAATTGCGATATTTTTAGTTTAAGTGTATGTGTTTTTATTTTGGGATATCTAGTGTTTTTTGCATGTGTACGTATTTTGTTTCGACATGTGAGTTTGGTTGTTCGTTTTTTGTATATGCATGCGTATGTGTGTTTCTGTATATATGTGTGTGTATATATTTGTGTCTTTTTTTCTTTGCTTTGTTTATAAAACTAATATGCGTATTAAAACTACTTATATGTTTGCATTGTACATATACTAGTTTTTTGCCGTTACCTTTTTTGATTCGCAATTTTTATTTATATGTTTTTTCGTGTATATTTCTTTTCTTTTGTTTCTGTTATCTTATTAGTATATTTATGCTTGAATTATGGTGAGTCTGCATGTTTGTATATTGGTACGTGTGTGTGATTGCTTGTATATGCTTTTACCCGTCTGACATAATTTTCGTATGCGTGTTATTTTTTTAATCTTATATGTATGTCTTTATTCTTTTTCATTTTATTTATGTTTTTTTTTATTTTTATTTCCCTTTTTTGAATTTTTTTAATGTTTCCATTTTCCCTTTCGTTTCCTTTGCATGGTTACATATCTGATTATATATACGTGTTTGTGTATTAAGATGAGAATGTGTTTGTCTTGTCATTTGTAAAATCCCTTTCTCTCTCTACCTACTCCCTTGTCTGTCGAAATTAATAATAATAATAATAATAATAATAATAATAATCATAATAATAATAATATTGAACACCTAGACACCCCTTCGAGAAATAGTAACAGGAAATATACTGAATAACTGCCGGACGTAATCCATTTCATTATATGTGATATATACTCATTATATTTCATTATATATATATATATAGGTATGAATCCTCTTCCTCTCCCTCCAGCTATGGGTAAAATAGCAGGACAGACTGGGTTCTATAGCCGTGGATGGCAAATGGTCTAGGAGAAGGGCAACTCTGAATTCAAAACCTGCGGAGGGTCGTTTGGGAACCTTGTGGCATTCGGTGCACCAGGTCTCTGTATTCGTCCTTTCAAAAAGGGTGGATGGTCCTGCACGAAGCCTTCACCACTATAATCAAATCTCATGTGCCGGTGTCGGGCTGTCAGTTTTCCTGGAAACTGATCTGCTTGACACTCATACGTCGAATATCGACGGGAGAGTTGATTATATATATATATATATATATATATATATATATATAGAGAGAGAGAGAGAGAGGGAGAGAGAGAGAGAAGGATTTGAACAAACAGAAAGAAAGAAAGAGAGGGAGGGAGAGATGAACAAGCATAGATAGATAGATATCAAAAGACAGACACTGGAATGAAAATACTCGAATAGATATTAAGAAACATAGATAGATAGATAGATAATGAAAATACAGTCAGTAAGAATAATATTAAGAAACCTTCATAGATAGATAAATTGATATATATATATATGAAAAGACAGACATTGGAATGAAACACTTGGTGAAACCTTGATACATAGATACGTAGATAGAGATAGCTAGATAGATAGATAAATAGATATGAAAATACAGCCATTAAGAATAATATTAAGAAACCTTGATAGATAGATAGATAGATAGATAGATAGATAGATAGATATGAAAATACAGTCAGTAAGAATAATATTAAGAAACCTTCATAGATAGATAAATTGATATATATATATGAAAATACATACATTGGAATGAAACACTTGGTGAAACCTTGATACATAGATACGTAGATAGAGATAGATAGATAGATAGATAGATAGATAGATAGATAGATAGATAGATAGATATGAAAATACAGCCATTAAGAATAATATTAAGAAACCTTGATAGATAGATAGATTGATAGATGTGAAAATACATACATTGGAATGAAACACTTGAGAAACCTTGATATATATATATATATATATATATATATATATATATATATATATATATATATATAGATAGATAGATAGATAGATAGATAGATAGATAGATAGATATGAAAATACTGTCATTAAGAATAATATTAATAAAACTTGATAGATAGATTGATAGATATGAAAAGACAGACATTGGAATGAAACACTTGGAGAAACCTTGATAGATAGATAGATAGATAGATAGATAGATAGATAGATAGATAGATAGATACCTATACAGTCCGAGGTTGATATAACATGGTCACGCACCTGCATGATTTCATAAAGGAGGCAGGTTTTTTATGGTTCTGTGCAGATCTTTATCTCCCATTTTAACGGTTCCTCGATGACCAATAAGTTTCGCTTGGCCGGATTTTATTGCTTTGTTAGTTAGCGAACCGTCCTAGTGGGTCATATACAACGAACAATTGTGCTTCTAGGGAGTAAATTGACATTGTAGTTAAGGTGAGCCTCACTCGTTACAAAGGATAAAAAAAAGCACTCCGAGTAATGTTGATTGAACTGAGGATTTTGTAAGCGATTGTAGTAACTGGAAATCGTTGTCTAAGATGTTAAATAACTGGCATTTTCTTTGAAGCCAACTGTACAATAATGTACGAGTCGTGTTAAATAATAATGCCACTATTTTTTTTAATCAGTTGGCCCCAAGGAAGGTGATAATGCCCCTAAGATTCAAGTGTCAACTGGGAATAAACAGTATTAAATGACATTTATACCTGAATGTCGAGAAATTTTCAAAAAATATTCGTTCATAGACAATTCCCCATCCTATCCCGCCAAACAGCTGGCGTGCCTTGACCAAACAAGGGATTGTGGTGAACAAGGTCGAAATAATAATAAACTTCAATCTTCCATGAATCTTTAACAAATTCAAATGCTCAGGAGTAGCGAAAAGAAGGAATCATATTTATAGAAATGGACGAGCTGAATACTACCGACGACAGAAAATGCATTATATAACCGCCATATACGCTAAACATAAAAGATAAAAGACAAGGTCGAATTTACACAAACTATAATCATGATAATTGTACATTCATAACTGCTTAAGGCCTCGAAATAAACAAATGAGCATATGTTATTACTAAGGAAATATTTATGGCGGTTCCGTATTTTTTCTTCTTTTGAACGAATATTTTCTAAAAATTCAGGCCGGGTAAATGTTAAAGTTTATCAAGACCGAGTGCCACTAGTATCTATAAAATAACGTTAAACATAAATAAAATGTCTTTAATAAGGAAATTGAGTCCAAACAAAGACGTCATTTGTTTACATTCGAAGAGGCGTGTTTGAGGAAAGGATCCGACCTTTCTACCATAAGAGAAGGAGGGCCAGGAATGGCGGTTCCGTAAGATCAAGGTGTCATGAACGAATGTTTCGACATTCAGGCCGGTAAATGTTATTTAATTTTTATCATAAAACAGATTTGAAGATCTATAGAAAATAACAACGTTAAACATAAATAAAAATGTTTTAGTAAATAAATTGTCGGACCGTTCCATTTTTAACATATGACGTCATTTGTTTACATTCGACACGCCAGAGCAGTTATGAATGTACGAGATTCATGGAAGATTGTAGTTTATAACAGTAAATTCGACCTTGTCTACCCATAAGGTTCATGGTGGCAGTCTGGCACGCCAGCGTATATGGCGGTTCCGTATAGGATGCTTCGAATCCTCTATGAACGAATATTTTCTATGAAAATTTCTCGGACATTCAGGCCGGTAAAATGTTATTTAATACTGTTTATCATAAAACAGAGCATTTGCTTAAATACTTGTATCTATAAAAATAACAACGTTAAACATAAATAAAAATGTCTTTAATAAATAAATTGTCGGACCTCGTCCATTTCTTAACATATGACGTCATTTGTTTTTTGATATGCCAGAGCAGTTATGAATGTAACCAGATTCATGGAAGATTGTAGTTTATAACAGTAAATTCACCTTGTCCACCATAAGGTTCATGGTCGCTGATTGGTCAAGGCACGCCAGCGTATATTTCCGTATAGGATGCAGGTTCGAATCCTGTCTATGAACGAATATTTTCTATGAAAATTTCTCGGACATTCAGGCCGGTAAATGTTATTTAATACTGTTTATCATAAAACAGAGCATTTGCTTAAATATTGTATCTATAAAAAAGGTAACAACGTTAAATACATAAATAAAAATGTCTTTAATAAATAAATTGTCGGATATTTTTAAAATATGAAATTTGTTTACATTCGATACGCCAGAGCAGTTATGAATGTACGATTCATGGAAGATTGTATTTTATAACAGTAAATTCGACCTTGTCTATTTAAGGTTCATGGTGGCCGAGTGGTCAAGGCACGCCAGCGTATATGGCGGTTCCGTATAGGATGCAGGGTTCGGAATCCTGTCTATGAAATATTTTCTATGAAAATTTCTCTTGACATTAGGCCAGTAAATGTTATTTAATACTGTTTATCATAAAACAGAGCATTTGCTTTGCATATTGTATCTATAAAAATAACAACGTTAAACATAAATAAAAATGTATTTTAATAAATATATATATATATATATATATATATATATATATATTTCACCCCAAGCAAGGCCGGAGTGACACTAGCACGCTAGCACGCATGGGGTTACAGAGGATTGGGAGCAAGAGTAAATAGTATGTTTGAGGAAAGGATACAGAGAAGGACAGGGAACCAGATCATGGTATCAGAAGATGTCGATTGACATTACACTTGAATATTTGAAGATTATAGTTATCAGGGAAGCAAGTAAGAGGAAGGGAGTTCCATTGTCAGGAAGGGCGAGAAAAGAAGCTGTTGGATTAGAAGAGACGCTTACATTAAACCGTTTTAACAGTGATAGGGTGGGGCCCAGATCCCAGCCTAGTAACTCGTTGAAATTCATGCAGTCAGAGAACCAGTGAAAGTATTTCGTCCGAACAGTACCCGTGAAATATTGTTGATTGGCATTTAGATAAACTCCTGCTCAGGGTCAAGTGGCTGTTATTACACTTTCCAGTATTGTTCGTGGTTTCCTTCCCAGCTTTATATATGAAGTTGTGTGGAACGTCAAAATCCTGATTGTTTCATCATTCACACTTCGAGCGACATGTTGCTGGTGTTGAAAAGTCTTCAGAGGATGGCCACCGCTGTGACATGCATGCATCATTCGCCCCACGACATTTCCAAACATCTATCGGAGAAATCACTTGTCTACAGGCGACAGTCTGTAAACGAGTTTGGCTACAGGCATGATATCCACATGAAAGTTTGAACGTAAAAGCGTCGTATGACGCAGGTCAACATTACGCGTCGATCAACGATATATATAAACAAACAGAAAATATGTCACATAATTGGCGGACTTAATGAATGTCAAGTCGATGAGAAAATGACTGATGACGAAATGCCAAGTTATGATCGATTACGTTACATATTCTTCTTTGGATTTTGTTCAGAACCGCAAGACGTATAGACCAGATATGGCAATACCATTCAATACATGGACGAATGGTAGATTTGTACCTTCCCCATATATATATAATATATATATATATATATATATATATATATATATATATATATATATATATATATATATATTATTGAGAGAGAGAGAGAGATAGATAGATATAGATAGATAAATATAGATAGATAGATAGATATGATAAGGCTGATATAAATACACGCACACACACACACACACACATATATAGAGAGAGTGAGATTAACAAACAGATAGATAGATAGATAGATAGATAGATAGATAGATAGATAGATAGATAGATAGAAAGAAAAAAGAAAGAAAGGATGAAAGAAAGAGAGGGCTAGATGAGCAAACATAGATAGATATCAAAATACAGACATTGGAATGAAAATTATTCAGAAAAAGATATTAAACCTTGGTAGATAGATAGATAGATAGATAGATAGATAGATAGATAGACATTGGTTGCTAGAGAAAGACAGATGGCTATAATCACTCATATATATAAAACAGATAAACAAACATAGATAGATAGATAGATCTGCTTGTTATCTATCTATCTTCATTATATATTTCTGTTCAATGATAGATAGATAGATAGATAGATAGATAGATAGATATGAAAAAACAGACATTGGAATGTAAACATTTGGATAGAAATAAATAAGCCTTGATCGATAGATAGATAGATAGATAGATACCTGAACAGTCCGACGTCGATATAACATGATCACGTACCTGCATGAGACTAAGAACATTATTCTAGTTTGTAGGCTACTTTTTTGGTTAGGCAGCAGCTTGTGGTGTTGGATGAAACTACACCAAGTTAATATATTCCATTTTTTTTTTCGAACGAATAAAATATACTGACGTATTTAAAGTGTTTAGTATTACAGTATTTAATATGTATAGTATTTAATATGTATAGTATTTAATATGTTTAGTACTAACATATTTAGTGTTTAGTATTTAATGTTAAGAATTTAACGTTTTGAATTTAATATGTAAATGTTTAACATTTTTAATATTTTATATATTTAGTGTTTAACATCTTTAATATTAAACATGTTTAGTGTTTAACATATGTAGTATTTATGTGTTTAGTATTTAATATGTTTATTGTTTAACATGTTTAGTATCTAATATAGAAATTTTTAACGTGTTTAGTAGCTAATATAATTAGTGTTTAACATGTTTACTATTTAAAATGGTTAGCATTTAACATATTTCATGTTTAATACGTATAGAATTTAACATGTTTAGTATTTAACATTTTAATGTTTAACATGTTTAGTGTTTAACATGTTTAGTAGTTAATATGTTTAGTTTTAACATGTATCATGTGCAACATACAAAGCAATGAACATTTGCTCGATGAATGGAGAATTACTAAGCGTAAATTTGCTTCTATGTGGTTCAAGGCCAAAATAATAGAGCATCCAATTGTAATTAATCTATGGAAACGAGCTTGGTAAAGCTTAAACCACGTCAAAGTGCCCATTGCTGGATGTATGTATGTTTTACATATTCCTTATCTATCAGGATTAGGAAAAGTTATATCTAGAGGTTCATCACGGAGAAAAGCAGTCTGTCTTTCACACTGTTCATATCTATCTATCTATCTATCTATCTATCTATCTATCTATCTATCTCAGTCTGTTCTATCTATCTATCTATCTATCTATCTCAGTCTGTTCATATCTATCTATCTATCTATCTATCTATCTATCCCAGTCTGTTCATAATCTATCTATCTATCTATCTATCTAT